TGAACTGCATGGGCCAATTGAAAAAAATCTGAATTATACTCAATTATAACTCACAGATTACTAGTTGGGGACCTTAATGTAGGGAAATATGTGATGTGCTTTTAGAGGCTTTAAAATGGAAGGAATAGATGGGAAACTGAAACATATGGCCTGTCTGACAGGGCTGATTTGATGGATCTGAGTGACTGGGTCCCCAGAATCCCTCTCACTCCTGTCCCAGTCCCAGAAGAAGAAAGAAAAGCAAGATTGGAAAGGCAGGTGAAATCTATTTGATTCCTGTTGGAACTGGATTTTCTGTGCAAGGTACTACTTTGCTATTTTTAAAAGAAATTTAGTTGAAGGGAAGCCGTGATTGAGTTTACGTGACTTCCCTTAGAAAAGTGATGGAATGTGTTAGTTTAGAAAACATTAGGAACTGGGTTAGAGGTCTGTGGGGGAATGTCCGCGTATTTGCGTTACATTCACATTTGCAAAGTGCGTATCTTCTATTAAGCTATTTGTTAGCAAGACAAACCTGGGCTTACTGGGGATGAGCAATGGACTTTTTTTGTTTTTTGTAGCTCTGTTTTTCTTTTCCATGGTCATTTAGGTTATTTTCTAATGAGGCCTTTTGGATAATGCTGAGGCTTTACAATAGGAATAGGTGTTCAGGAAGGCCATTGACCCGTCCCAGTCTAGTCATTTTTGCTTTGTAATGGAACCTCAGTACCTGGTGTGTGTGTGTGTGTGTGTGTGTGTGTGTGTGTGTGAGAATTCAAAAAGCAGCACACTTAAAGAGCTATAGCACTTTGGGGCCTAGACAGCTTTGTTGTGACCCCTGAAAGATGGCTGAGGAAATCTCCTTCCTAGTTCAAAAAAAGATTCCTGAGCTGTCACAGAACCCTGAGAACGAGACATGACACAAGGAGGCGACAGTGAAATCAGGGTGAATCATCACACCTGGATCCTTGAATAGAGGACAAGGGAGAGAGTCCCAAGCACACACGGTCAGAACGGGCCGTTTCGGGGTGCCGGCCTCACGTGTGCAAACATTCACGGGAACTCACGGCGACAGTGCAGGGGGACCTGGGAAAGAGTGGACCTCATGGCGCATCAGCCAGGAGAGGGAGCGAGGGGAGGAGGTGTGCTCGGAGCCACTGCGACCTGGCTGCAGATGCCCGAGAGGCCTCACAGGTCGGTGAAGTCTGAGCATTGCTGCAGCCTGGGGTTCCTTCGAGGAGTTTTTGAATCCTGGTAATATATACACATGTAGCAAGGACTGTTAGTCCCTGTGAGAGTTCCAGTCACTTGGTACTTGCAAACGGCAGTGGTATTACAGGAGCCGAATGCCGGGAAATGGGTGTGGGTCCTCAGCTTGTTTGTGGGTGTCAGTGTATATAGCGAGGACCCTGAACTTAAAAACACCCGACAGGTTTCTTTAGAGACCCTGGGAAGATATAACGTGCTTGGCAAGTTTTTCAGAAAGGGAGGAAAAGCAAACACAGCCCTACTAGAACTTAATTATTTTGCATCCCCTGGTGAGAGAAGTGTCTGGAAAGTAGTTTTTTAGCCCTGCCTTCCCTACCTTAAATACTGAATTTCTGTAGAGACTGAGATCAAGACAGGCAATGAATGTCAGACCTGATCAGAGTCCTGGGTCAGTGACCACCCAATGGGTTTAAACCCATGCAGGCCACCTGCCATATGCACATAAGCTCAGGTTCTGGGACAGGATGGTGGAAACCAGGGGGTCAGAGGCAAAAGCTGGTGTATTCCTCTCAACAGTATTGCCACAGGCCCTGGCCGGGTAGGTAATCCAGTTGGTTAGAGCATTATCCCGATACACCAAGGTTGTGAGTTCAATCTCCAGTCAGGGCACATACAAGAATCAACCAATGATGTGTAAATAAGTGGAACAGCAAAGTGATGTCTCTCTCTCTCTCCTTTACTCTCTCTCTTAAAAAAAAATCAATAAATAAAATTTTCCAAAAGAGAGTATTACCACAGCACTGGGGGAAAACACACACCAACTCTGGCTCAGGAAAACCACTTAGACACTACAAAAATAGCAGGTACCAGAAGAAAAATAACACACCAAACACAACCATGACAATAGCTCGCATTTACTGATTGCTTACTGGGTGTCAGGCATTGTGCAAAGCACTTCACAAGCATTATCTCATTTAGGAAACTGAAGCAGGTGAATGGAGAGCCTTAGAGGCTTGACATTTGAGGTCATATGTATCCTAAGTCATGCAGTACTTCAGTGAGAGTGGCTAAGTGTTTGAGAACTCTTGAGCAGGTATTTGGGAGTGTTATCAACTGTAGAGCTATACAAGCAAAATTGCTAAATCAGCAGTGGGCTGGAAAATAAAACAAGAAGCTTACTTATTAAAACCGGAGGCCCTGCGATGGTAGAGAAGGAAATATAGGTCAGGCTCGCTGTGAACAGGCAATTATTGGGGCTGCCTTGAACAGGATACTTCAATTAAAGCTCCAGCTGCCGGTCTAAGAACAGGCTCCTACTTCCTTCCAGCTGCTTCGAGTAGGGACAGGAAGCTAGGAGTCACTCACATCACGGGGACAGCCACTGAACTGCTAGGAAGCACAGGGCCTTACCTCAGATCTAGGGCTTCCGAGAAGACCTACAGGTGGCCTCTTGCCAGTCCCAAGGGTGTCTTCCAAGGAACCGCCTGGGGAGCGGTGCCCAGAAAACTGATACAAAACTGTCCTTTAATGGGCTATCAAGGCTGCATGCAGGGAGACCGTGATCAAGAAGCAAACCCATGCTCAGTAACCCCAAGGTAAAGAGCATCGTGGAGAGTCAGATGGGGCAAAGTGGCCCAAGGCATGAATTGGCTCTGTTCCTCTCAATAGCAGCCACCAGGCGTGCAGAGATTTGAGAATTTCAAGAATGGAGCCAAAAGGAACAAAGAGGGATTTGGAGTTCAAGTGGGGCGGGACAGTGGGTCACATGACCTACACCTGACCCACCTCCTTCTGCAAGGGTGGATGTGACAAGGTGGTTTCAGCATGAAGGCTTTACCCCTCCCCACTCTGGGACCATGATGGGTGCAGGGCTTGACTCCTGAAGGAGAGGAAGAGCGGCTGTGGACGGCAGCAGCTGTGTGCCTGAGACAAAAAGGCAGGAACAAAGAGCAGCTGCCGGGCCAGGACCTGCTCCGGGTTTTTCCAAGTGCTTGATTCACACTGTGGGCTGCAGGCTGGAACAGAGACCTGGAATTTCCCCCAGCCGCCCGCCACCTGTGCGCCTGCCCAGAAGACAGGCATGGGAAGGAGCCAAAGGCTTCTACTCCTGAGGATGTTCCAACTGGATCCCCAAGAATGAACTTAAAAATCTTAGAGCGTGCTACTGCTGGGTGAAAAGAGAGGTCCAGGAGAATGTCATTCCCTAGGACCAAATTTCCCCTTTCTGTGATTGGGACTGAGTGGTCTTCAGGGAAAACAGCGTAGAAGAGAGCTGCACGGCTGCTTTTCCTTTAGGGGGAGTTTGTGCAGACTGCATCGCTTGGGATTAATGAGATCACTGGCCGGGCATGGCTCCGTGGTTGAGCATCGACCTAGGATCCAGGGGATCGAGGTTTGATTCCTGGTCAGGGCGCAGGCAGGGTTTCGAGCTTGATCCCTGGGCCGGGGGCGTGCAGGAGGCAGCCGATCAATGAGGACTCTCTCATCATTGATGTTTCTCTCTCTCCCTCTCCCTTCCTCTCTCTGAAATCAATAAAGATATATTCCCCCCTCCCCCCCAAAAAAAACCCCTATGATTGAAAGGAATGAAATGAGACCATAAATAATCTGCATAAAATTTCAGTGGGAGAAATTTGGAAGCAAAATGACTTGTGTCTAGGCCTAGATGTTATTAACAAATATTCTTTGTAAACTAACATATAATGATATAAAGCAATAAGAAAATAACAAAGGGAGTGGCCTGCCCAGAGCCCTGAGAGGAGGAGCTTATGTTTGAATGTAAACAAAGAGCCCTAATAAAAGAAGCAAAGCTCTTTAAAGACTGAAAGTGGCCATGAAGTGACATCACCTCCAATCAAGATCAGCAGGAGCAGAAATGCAGAAAGTTATCCAAATAAGCCTGTGGGCAAACTGCAGGCCATAGCAACTGTTACTCATTGAGGGGAAATGGAGGAGGGGAGGTGGCCGATGATTGCCCACTGTGAGGTCATCACATGGTGGAACCAGCTGGCTGGAGTAACTGGACCTGATGCTGAGTCAGGTATTTCAGCTGTGTTCAAACAAACAATTCTTCCTGCCCCATCACGCACCCAGGAAAAAAAATGGAACTGGTCCGGGTGAGTTTTACTTCTCAGACAGCTGTTTCGCATGTGGGATGTAAATTGCCCGCCACTTAATTTGTTTTCCAGAAGGAAATAAAAAATGATTTATAACCGGTAGGTTCAGTGGCCAGTGAGAGTGATAAAATTCCAAACCCAAAGCATTGGTATTCAGTACCTGTAGTATTCTGCTCTCTAATCTAGTTTACAGCAAAACAAAGATGGGTCGTTTGGGGCTCCCATAGTTGCCATTTATACCTCAGAAAATAATTTCTAATTATTGGGGCAGGGTAAATAAATAGACCAATAAAACTCAAGGTAAAAACTGTGTAGATCACATCAGAAGCTACACATATGCTAACTAAAATAAAACTGTTTTGTTGCTTTAAAAATTCCACCATCTGGGGTTATAACAGTGACTCAACATAATAAACATAAACATGTAATACTATACTTCACATAATATAAAATCTGTAAATATATATTTTAAGCTTCAAAATAGTGTTTCTCAAGTACTGTTCCAAATGTGGTTTTCTGAATTTTCAAAGTCCCTTCCAGCTTTGGTTCGTCCTCACACTGACAGAATGGAGCAGAATAACAAACTTCGTAGATTTTAATGTAAAGTTTTAAAAAACAATAGAGTATATTTCTGTAGTTCATTGCAGCCTATGGGGTATTTTCCCTACATAACTTATCCCCACTGATCTTCACCAGGACCCTGCGAAGCAGGTGCACTTCACAGAGGAGTTAACTGACTCAACAGGATTCAATGACTTGCTCGGGCCCACGCAGCTGGGGACTGAAGCTGAGATTCCACGTGAACACGGGCTGAAGCTGCTATGTCGCCAGGGGAGGAGAGGCTGGCTGTCTCCTCGGGGACCTCACAGGTGGCTTTCCCCGCTTTACTCCATTGAGTCGCCAGGCTGTAAGATCTGTCCTTGGCTTATCAGTGTCCCAGAATTTTGCTCTCAGAGTCAACTGAAGCACCCTGATCAAATCCATAAGGGACCGAAGTCTACACCAGAAGGCTGGTTTCTTTATTGCGAGAACTGTTACTACCATGTGAACCAGATCGAATGCAGTTCCTGGCACGCCACCACTCTCTCTGTGGACAACAAATGACAATCGCGATGAAAAATGGGCATGAGGAAGCAGATGCTGGCAAGGAGAAAATGACACTTCTAATATGCCAGTCATTATTATTATCAATCCCACCATCACCAGGACTTACCATCACCTGTCCCGTTCTAGAGAGGAGGAAATTCAGACACAAAGAGATTCATTAACTTAACCAAAGTCACACAACTGGTATGAGAGAGAGGATTCAAACCCAGGTCTATTTGCTTTCGAGGCTCTTGGACCTTCTAGGGGGGGATGAGTAGAGATGATATGGGATGGTGGTGAAGGTGGGGGAGGGGGAGAGGAAGGAGGGAGGGAAGGAGGTGAGTGTGGAGGGAAAGGGGGGACAGGAGAAGTAGGACAAAAGGAAGAAGAGAGGGAGGAGGGGATCAATATAGAAAGAAAGGACTAGGGAAGGGGAAGAGGCCAGGGGGAAGGAGGCAGGGGCGAGGGGGTGGAGGGAGAGCCAGGCAGGCGCTGCAGCAGCTAGGGCCTGTGGCAGCCCTCCTTTCCACTGGTGATTGGGCTAATATAGCATTTGGGGATTTGTACAATCTATTGCAAGAAGCAAATTGCAGCCCATACCACTTAGAAGTGACCGTAGTGTGTCACCAGACCCCTCACTTGCCCTGGCCTCACTGTCTATTTTCTAACTGAAACACATCATCACTTAAACTCTCTGAGCCTCAGTTTCCCCATCTGTAAAACGGAACTAAAACTACTTGCTCTACTTTCCTTATAATATCTGATATTTTTAAAGCACTTACCAGGTACCTGCACTATGCTCAGTGCTCTCTCTGTAGGCACCCTTGTTTTCAATACTTAGAAGAATCTCGTGATTCATAGAATAAATTATGATTATATTTGTTTTAAAAATAATTAAAATGAGGCTTAGCAAGGCTAAGCATCTTGTCTGAGGTGGTCTTAGGGTACCTTTGTTATAAAAATCTCAAAGAGTTAGCTTAAAGGTGATGTGTTGTTTTTTTTCACTCAAAGAATAACTTTTTAAATTTCTAAATCCTAGTCCTGGGATCACTGGAACCTCTTGGGGAGGAAAGCATCTGTTTGATCTCGTTTCTAGATACTGCCTCCTGACATAGTATACTCACACTTGAGTCCGAATAACTTTCTCTGAATTATAGCAGGAAAAAAGAGGGGAAAGATTTTCTCTCATAGTAGGTTGGGGCATCCAAGCTCAAAAGGCGCAGACCTGTCTGTGGATAAAACCCCCCTGTGAAGACTCCCATTGAGTCCCAGCACCTTGACTGGTGGCCTCAGTGAATTTATTTAGTAGAGCGGGCCATACAATGCTGAAGACATTTAAGTGATCCCCTCTGAAATGTAGCCCTTGTGAGAGGTGCCCTTTCCTGGTGGGGCAGGCCCGCCAGACAAGAAGTGATTCAGGACTCAGATTTAAAGTTTTCAAAAAACTCCTTGAAATCTTTTCTTCAGGAATGACATAAATACCCTATTACTGACATAATTTGATGAGCAGTAATAGGGGACCCTGATCCCCTCTTCTTTTGTAATTTTATAGCTCCCACATTATTTTTTAGAGGTTGATATATATNATTTGATGAGCAGTAATAGGGGACCCTGATCCCCTCTCCTTTTGTAATTTTATAGCTCCCACATTATTTTTTAGAGGTTGATATATATCATCTCTTCAGGACCCTGTAGATTTTAATTACCAAAGAAGCTACATCAGTTTTTTACCAAAAGCAGAGTGCCCTTATTTTACAACCGAAACAAAGCTGGAAGCTTGGTCCCAGTGGCAGGCTGTTAATAGGTCATTCCGTAAAGATTTATATATACTTTGTGGACAGAGAAGAATTTCAAATAGGGTGAGTCAAACTATGAACTCACTTATCTTTAATCACCTTAGGCGAGTTAGGATCTACTTCAATTAGAAGCTGCATCCTGGCTAACTGGGGTTTGTTTTCATGAAGGTTCCAAAAAAACACGGCCATTAAACAATTTAGAGAATAGTAAATTCAGCAACTAATTTTAATCTACCTGCAGGGGAAACAAAAACAACCAGGTTTTCTTTTGTTCGGCTTGAAGGTAGCTTTCCCGTGGGACAAGAGAAGCAGACAGTGTTTCATAATTGCATTTATACACCTGACATAGGAAATATTACTCCAAAAGTGAAAGCAAAAACTTGGAAAGAAATAGCTAGCTATTGGAGGGAGGGGGGATGTGTGGGAGGGGGTGTGCGGCCTCTTTTCTGATCTCTTAGATTTGGCGACAGCAGGATCAACCCAGCTTCCAGCCCACTTTGCCGCTGTGACATTCTTGAGGGGGGAAAAAAATCAGCAGTTAAATTCTCAATCTCTACATCCCTAGTCCCACACCTACTCCCCTCTTCCCTGAAAAAAGCCTGTTGCCAGTGCTTGCTGTGATCCTTTCTCGTGGGGGTTTTCTTTCTGGAAAGACCATGAGAGCAGGAAAATGCCCTGACCACAGCTCACTGCTTCGATGGCCACCTGGAGGCCAGCTGGGCGCTCCCAGGCTCAGACTCTGGCCCAGTGCCACAGGGACAGTGGCTTTGAAAAGCAGCTTCTCAAGTCACTATTAACCTCGCGCAGAAAAATGAAAATGGGAAACGCAGTGAGATTTTATTCAGCTTTCGGCTCCTCATTCTAGAAAATAGAACCAAGGCAACATATGATTGGAATAAAACAAGGTTATTCTTAGCAAATAAACCTTCCGCGTGCAGAAGCAGTACAAACTGGGGGGTAGCGAGTATTCTGAGAAAGCACTGGGTGGCCGGTCTTCACCTTCCTCCAGTGAGGGCCAGGTGCGGGTGTGGGT